AACTCGCCGCACATCCTATTGACACACTTCGGGACCGACAACTTGGAGGACGTCTTTCTAAAGGTGTGTCGCGCCGAAGACGAGAAACTGGTCGGCGTTTCTATGCCTCCAACGATGGCCAGCATGAGAGCCAACGCATCCAATGGCCAACACTTGCAGTCCGTAACCACCGCTCAGACAAAGAAAGTCTCGCACTCAACGAATACTGTTCAGCGATTCGGCGCTTTGATTGAGAAAAACTTCATTAGTCTTTATCGACAGAAAATGTATATAAAAAGCAATGGTTTTATGATTATTGTGTGTTTTAATCGTTATTTACTGTATTTATAGGTTATTCTTAATACAGATAGTGATGCCAATGATAGGCATCGCATTGTTCTGCGCCTGTATTGGGGGTAAACTCCGGGACTTAGACGTTGTCGTCTATAATGAAGACTCTCCCGCGTTGTTGAGCGAAATATTTCTCACTCATATCGATAACAAAACTATACTTTGGGTGAGTATTTAATTTAAATCTGTTTCTTCACATGAAATACATGTAAACTATTTGAGTGTAGAATCGATTCGCCGACAACGGGTCCGCCTATAACGAGGTAAAAGTGGGCAACGCTTACGGAGAACTGGTCTTCGGCCCCAACTTCACGGCTGCTCTAATGGCGAGAGCGGCGGCGACCAATCTCCAGGTGTCCGACGAGACCATAGCGATGAGTACTGCCATGTTTTACGCCGATCTGACCGGTAATGACCACTAATTAGCACTTATTTTTCAATTCAATTAACTATTTGTTGATCTGTTGTCAGACATGAATATATATCAGACACTATTCAAGTCTCTATTGGAAACGAACTTTGCGTTTATGAAAGATATGCTAAACAGGTCGGCACTGAACCCGAAGCCCAACATCAAAGCCCTGAACCCAATCGTCAACGTAAACAAAGATCCAATCTATGGCACAACGGATCCCAAATTCCGAGAGTTTATGACTCCCGGACTGATTGTACTCATGAGTTATCTGTTGGCCATTGGATTGACGGCTCTGTCGACTATCACCGAACGCAGAGAAGGACTTTTGGAGCGATCACTTGTGGCCGGCGTTCATATGTACGAGATATTGATGTCACACGTCTTCGTCCAGATTATTATTCTCGTCTTTCAGACCAGTTTAGTGATGATAACAGTGTTTATGTTCTTCAAAATCGACTGCAAAGGCAGTTATCTTCTGGTGTTTCTCTTATCCATACTTCAGGGCATATGTGGGATGTGTTTCGGTATTAAACAACTCTTTAAATGCTTAATAAGATTGTAAATAATGTGTTTCCCATTGAATATCAGGTCTATTAGTGTCAGCCATAGCCGAGAACACGAGGACAGCGCTCATCATAATAGTGGGCTCTTTGATGCCATATCTCATTATTTCGGGTATTGTTTGGCCGCTCGAAGGCATGGATTCGTGGGTTCAATGGGTGGCCACTCCTATGCCGCAGACATTACCGGTGATTGCCTTAAGGAATGTCATATTCAAGGGATGGGGTCTTAAGCGTACGTTTGTATGGTTAGGATATTTGACCACAATTTGCTGGACAGTTGTCTTCACAATTGCTGCCATTTTCTTAAACAAATTGAGAACCGATTGATTGTATTTTCATAGCATTTGTATTTAGAAAACAATATTTAGTCTCAAATATATAGACTTTTTTCAAATTTTAAAACTCAATTGATTTGTAATAAAAATTAAATAAAAACTTATATAAAACTTGAATTTAAAAAATTAATTTTTACTTTAATAAACTTATTTAAGACTTGATTGAGTGGAAGAGTTTAATTGAATATTAAGTTAGCATGGTCATTCTTAAAGTTTAGTCCATTTTTAAAAACTTTAATTACTTTAATAAAGTTTAGAAATACTTATGAAACCAATAGAGTTGTCAATAGAGAGCAGTAAATGAATGAATAGACATATTTTGCTTCACTTTTTTGTGCACATGTTTTGTGTTAACTTTCAATTCAATAATTCATTCATTTATTAATTGGCTTTCATTTCAAAGCAATTAGTGATTGAATTATAAATTGCTTTTGAATTTGTATTGATTTAATTGTGAATTGCTTTTCATCTGATCTTTATTTGAGGCCTTATTGTGAAGAATAGACATTAGTTTCACATTTGCTGTTGTCTTCAGTTTTAGTTCATTTCATGTATTGTTTAATGAATTAATGGTTTAATAATTTTCATAACATTTGTGCAAATTATTGGTAAACATTATCCCAAATGTGTCAAGAGTTGGTCTCAAGAGTGACACAAACATCAGAAGAATGTCTTCAGGAAGTGATTCTACGAAAGTTTATCCGAAAGACAGTTTCGACAGATTCGGTGATGATTTGTGTAAAGTTTTATTGTCTTATCTCTCATTCAAAGACCGATTCAGTTTTGAATGTCTGTCCAAACAATGGCAGCGAAGAGTATTCACGACACAAACAGATCTCATTTTTCCTTATAATCCAAAGCTTATAATAAGTGCAGAAATATTTGAATCAATTGTGAAAAAGTGTGAAAACATCACAAGAATTGTATTTGCATTGAATAATGTGTTTAATATCTCAAAGTATAACTCAATTATAAGACATTGCAATCATTTGAACGCAATTTCGATTTATAGTATTGAAAATGTGAACAATTTTGACAATTTGTTCGCACAGTTTGGCCAACAATTGAAATCAATTACATTTAATATAAGTGTCAATAGTTTGACACAAAATGTGAATTTATGCACAAATTTGATTGAAATCCATATCAAAAGCTCCGTAGAAAATTTCACAGAGAATTCATTGCATTTATTAATCGGTAATCAAAACGAAAAACTATTTCCAAAACTACAGAAATTAAGTTTTCATTTCACCGATAATTGTGTGGAAAGTATCGATAGTTTTGTTGAAAACTATAAAAATAGTTTGAAATCAATCGATATTTTGATCGTTAGATGTGAAGAGATATCACTGAATATACTAATCAGTCGTTTGTCACAAATGAAAGCATTAATTGATTTGGAAATACAATTACTTGAAAATGATGAGCAATACTTGGCGTTGGAGACCCTGTTTGTGAAGCAATTGAAACAAATTGGTATTAATTGTCCGCAACTCAAGAGATTAGCACTGATTCTGTACACCATTTCGACCGATAATTTCATTGAATCATTTAATTCAATTAATTGTTTCAAACAATTAAAACGTTTAAACATAGTATATGGTTTTGAACCTGGTGAGATCTCATTTGCCGGCCGTTTCAATGATTGCAAATTATTAACACATTTATCACTCGATGGATCCGCTGAGGAGCTGTTCTTTGAAAATATTTCACAGCGTTTCCCAAAACTAGAATTCATTGATTGTTGGGATTTAACCGATAATATATTGAAATCATTGTCTCAATTGCCAAAACTGAAGACAATTAAAGTCAAAGGAAGAAAGAAATTAATCATTACTTCACTGAAGAAATTTCCAAAAATTTCTTTAATTACTAATTCGTGTTTCAATTAAAATATTTAATTCAATTCTCTGTTTTGTTTACTATTATGCAATGTATTGTATGCTTATGTACTGAATACTAATTAACACAAAATATAACTATTACTAAAATTTTAATTCAAGTGTTGGTATTAAAAGTGATGACAATTAGTGCCGATCTCTCACTCGACACCACTTTTTCCACTAATTATTTCTCAATTCAATCATTTTTGCTATTTTTGTAATACTTGTATAATTCGATAACTTATAATTGTTTTTTCAAAAAATTACACCTCATTTATAGTAAATTGTTTTAAAATTAAAATTAACTAAAACAGTAAATTAATAATTTCCTGTAAATAATTAAACAATTAAAAGATTTTATTTAAAACTTAATTTGAATTTGATTTCTAAAACACAGATTGTTAGACAACCGCTTCTTTGATGACCACAAAAATGTTTTTGTCGTTAATTATAATCTCGTTATCAATGAGTGAAGTGTTTATGAATTGTTGATATGTTTATAGAAAATTAAATCCAAACGTTTTGATTTGTGATAACATTTCAATGTCCGGCCAATTGTTAATTCTTTATGAACTAGACGTTTAAAACATTAATTAGTAAATCATATTAATATTTATTTTCATTTGTCTTTCTTTGCGTCTAATTAATGATCTCTATTGTCAGTCATTCCTCGGGAACCGGTTTAAGTGATGTGTCAAAGAACAGGAGGGGGTATATCACTGACGCGGTGTTTACGCACTTTCTTAGCCTCGGCTCTCACTTCTTGACCACTCGGTCGCGGCTCAAGTGATTTGGTGGCCGTCTTCTCGCTCTCGTCCTTCCCTTCACTTACACGTGATTTCTTGTGTCCGCAAAAGTATTTATTGGCGCAGAAGGCGAGCCCTCCCAACACAATGCCCGTCACAACCAGTCGACCCCCACCTCTACCACTGCCCCGGCCTTTATTGCCCGGCGCTGTAGGTCTGGTGCCGTCCGTCCCAATCAGATCTCTCTTAACCATTTGAAAGCCACTTAACGTACGGCTCATTCCTATGGCTTTGAAGAAGCGATTGGTTTTGGAGACAGACTTTACGGCAGATTTAAGTGCAATTTTATTGCATATATTTTGTAGTCAACAATACATGTCTGAAAATAAATCCTATTCTTCTGAACTAGAATTTAATTAAAATTTAGTTTTTATAATTTATTTAACGAATATTTTGATTTCATAATAAAAATACACTTTTATATCTAATTTTGTGATAAATTATAATTTCTTATAACTCTTGAGTTGTTTTACAGTTAACGTAATAACAAATGAGTCCAGAAATACAATAAAACAAATAATCATTTAATGGTATGAAATATGATAATAAATAAAATCATTTACAAAAGAAATTACAATTGAAAAAAATTTAGTTTTAAAACAGCAAAAAATAGACATAAAAATACATTTCAATAGAGAAAACACTACTTTTCCCACAAACCGGAGAACAGTCGGACAGGGGGTCGGGGATCGGGCATCCGGTTGTAGTCAAACTTGGGTCGGGGGTGAGGAGCCATCACTAGTGCCATATCTGGGCGATCGAGTTTTGCGTGCCTGTGCTCCCAGTGCTGATGCGGCTCCGGGTCTCTGTCTCCGCATCGGCCGAAACTGACCTCTGGTGAGTGTGTCAACCGATACCACAAGAAACAGGTCAGCCCTACCGGTACGACACCGACCGATATGAACACTATAGGCCAGACGCCGGGGTTGACCCGAGTGGTGGCCACCGCTCGCCGCAAACCCGCGGCCATCGACTGCATTCGGTCGCCGGCGAACCGATCCTCGAGCGGTGGGTTTCGGACGTTGTACTCCTCCACAGCACCGGGTGTTGACATTGAAGGCATCGGATGGTCACCAGTGGGTGTGCTGTGCAGTCGACTGTGTGTGGGATGTGATGGACAGGTAGTCGAGGACTGGAGACGACTTTTGGTTAGTTTTGTTGTTTGGTTTTTAACAGACTTTTAGTGTTTGTGTTAACGGTTTGTGTTCTGTCTGTTGAATGAGAAATAGCCGTTAATTACAACTATTTATTGCATAATTCAATCAAATTATAAAACATTTAAATAATTAGTTTTATACTGAAAAACACGTTTCAATAATAAAATAATTCATTGAATACTTAATTTGAATTTGATTTATAAAACACAGAATTGGTATCAATTGTTAGACAACCGCTTCTTTTTCTGATCACAAAAATGTTTTTGTTGTTAATTATAATCTCGTTATCAATGAGTGAAGTGTTGATGAGTAGTGGCGGAGATGTCTGTGAAGACGGATATATCGACTCAATCACTGAATTAAACAACAAATCGGTGGCTGTTTTCAAAGGCGATAGAATTCTTGGAAAATAATTTGCAAATAAAAAATGACATAGTTATTTGCAAAACTTTTTAATCCATTAATTCTTATGAAGAGAGAGAGAGAGAGAGAGAGAGAGAGATGTTATTATTATAATAAGAATATTTGAGAAATTATTTTTTCTTCACATGATTTTTTTATTCACTTTAAATGAATGCTTCAAAAAATTCTGTATTAAATTTTGTACAGATTTTTTGTGCGATATTTTCTTTGTTATTAAATTTTGTAACATTTTTTTGTGTTTAAAATAAATCTTTATATAAATTGCTTATATCAATATAAATCTCTCTCTCTCTCTCTCTCTCTCAAGGCATGAAATAATAAGTTATAAAAAATCTAATTTTCTTTTTATCGCGTTTTTATATAAAATTTAAATTTCATATAAGAAATTAATTAATATTTTAACGCAAACTATTCATAAATGTTAATTTGCAAAATATATTACTTTTTCATGACTTATTCAATAATAAACTTTATGTTTATAATGATTTTCATTAACATGTTTAGCAAACATATAAACTTTATATATAATTATTAACATATCTATGTTTGCATTAAAAATTAAATTATACATAAACGCTATTGGGAATAATTTATATCATTTAAATACTAGATAACAAATTATTATTTATACACATGTTATATTAAACTGGAGAATTAATTCCCGAGAAATGCATTAAGCCAAAATTAATTTATTACATTTTAATCAAAATAATAATAATAATAAATCTCTGATTTTGGTCTAAAAATTTGTTTTAATGGCTTTTTATGTGACAAATAATACAGAATATTCTGTGAGTTATGAATACTGGGCTTAGAATATATTGTATATTTTATTGTACTGCACATTATGTATACAATGAGGCAAATAAAATATAACTTATTTCATCTTTCTCAGTGAAAATACTATAAATGTCAACATAAGTGTATTTTGCCATTTATTTTACCCTCTCTCTCTCTCTCTCTCTCTCTCTCTTCATAAGAATTAATGGATTAAAAAGTTTTGCAAATAACTATGTCATTTTTTATTTGCAAATTATTTTCCAAGAATATATATGAACAATAGTATATACTTAAAAGATTATAAACAATTTAAATGATCTGTGTTGATTGAAATACATGTAATTTTAATGAAATAAAATAATAATAAAATAATTCAATAAAATAATTTAATAACAAATAGATAATCATTAAACATAATGTAGGTGGATTAGTTTTTAAATAAGTTTTATAAATATTAGCCTGAATAGCACAAACTAACATAACATTTTATATATTCCCATGATAAATAATCACATTAATGCAGTGTATATCCTTAATCTGAATCGTGCATTTTATTTATGTTTGTATTTTGATTATTTTTGTTTCTTTTCACAAATTTTTGTGCCATGCGATTTATTATTATATATAATACATAATATTTTTGCTGCAATTCCCAAACATAATGTATTATAACTTATAAGTCATGGCTTTTTGTTTATGACTTGTATTCCACGGGTAGAAACCTGGAGTAAAATGATGTCAAAATAATTTATCTAGATACTTGCAAACATGTTATTAGGAAATTAATACAGATTTAATTAGTAAATCATCTATGGTTGACAATATATACATGTATAATTTTATACCAACATGATTAATATTTGTACCAAGCACTTAAACATAGTACCCCATAGCCTACCCCTAACATGATTTATACATTTTTTGTATGAATTTGTATTTAGTTTTTATTTAGTTATTATTTGTTGCATTTATTTTGTAACTTATATAAGGCATAATGGATTTATTATAGTGAACTGCTTTATACATGTTATGACTTAACTGACCGGTCCATTAATTTTGATTAATTTATTGACCATTCTTTCAGATGAGAGAGAGAGAGAGAGAGAAAGAGAGAAAGAGAGAGAGAGAGCTATATTATGTCATTAATTCATATATAAGTATAATTTTTAGTTTTTATACAAACATAGAAAATATATACAGAATATTCTGTATTCTGTTATCGATTTGTTGTCATAAAGTGCACAGAATTTACACAAAAAAATTAATAAATCCTTTTAATAAAAATATTTTCTGATATACTTTTTGTTGTTGTGTTGACATCACATATAAATTCAATTATAAAATCAATCACATTATTATATATGATGAATGTAGAAAAAGTTAGTATGGTTAGTGTTAATAATAACATGGTGAGCATATTGATTATGGTGGAAAATGCAATTATGAGATTAGCCAGTAGTTCACGCATTAATATACATTATAATTGCATTATTAATAATTTATTATTTCTATATTTTTAGCCCTAAATCTAGTTTGAAAACAAAGTTTTCATTTGCCTTTAGCTACAAATTTAATTATCTCTCTCGCAGTCTCTCTCTCTCTCTCTCTCTCTCTCTCTCTCTCTCTCTCTCTATTATTTTTTGACAGTTTTGTGAATTTAAGTAAGAATTTCTGAATTATGTATTTT